AGGGCGCAGACACCCCGTGATAATGTGGCACGTCTCATTAAGAGCTACATCCACTGTTTTAGCGTGGTGAGATGTGTTCCAAACTGGGCATGCATACTCAGCAGCAGAGTAGCAAAGTGCAAGGGCGGATGTCTTCACTGTGTCTGGTTGTGATCCCCAGGTTGTGCCAGTAAGCTTTTGTATGATACTGTTTCTAGTGCCCACTTCTTGCTTGATATTCAGGAAGTGCTTCTTGTAGGTCACGGGTGACCACTCAAAGAAACATGGTTACAGGTAAGCAACCATTTCTTTTTCGTTGTGATCCCCATATGACTGAACATATGGCTGTGTGAATTTCACAGGTGACCACTCAAAGAAACACGGTTAATTATTTATCGTGTCAGACAATTGTATTACATTTCCAACAGAACAAAACAAACAAACAGCCAAAAACCACAAAATTTGCAAGCTTGGTAGTTGATTAAATGTCCTTTGACCAATGTCATGCAGGCTCCTTTTGGTTTCTGAAATCTTCGACAAGAGCAGTCAAGGAAGATGCAAAAATGTCTACTTGTCGAAAGATTTAAGTGTGTTGAAAAATCATTGGGTGGTAAGGGATGAGAGAAAAACCCTGCAAAACACTTTCCATTTTTCAGTTAGTGTTTCTCAACCTTCCTAACGCCGCGACCCCTTAATACAGTTCCTCATGTTGTGGTGACCCCCAACCATAACATTATTTTCATTGATACTTCATAACTGTAATTTTTGCTACTGTTGTGAATCGTAATGTAAGTATCTGATATGCAGGATGTATTTTCCCATGATCAACAGAAAATACTGAGAAGGGTTTGCTGGGCATTGACCTTGAGTTTGGGAGGTGTAGTTCACCTACATCCAGAGAGAACGATGGATCGGGACCAAACTTGTCACGAATACTCAATATGCCCAAATGTGAACACTGGTGGAATTTGGGGGAAATAGACCTTGACATTTGGGAATTGTAGTTGCTGGGATTGATAGTTCACCTACAATCAAAGAACAGTCTGTGTCCCACCAATGATAGAATAGGGCCAAACTTCCCACACAGAATCCCCATGACCAACAGACAATACTGTGTTTTCTGATAGTCTTTGGCGACCCCTCTGACACCCCCTCACGACCCCCCCAGGGGTCGCGACCCCCAGGTTGAGAAACACTGAGTGAGATACTCAAAAGCTGCTAATTTGTTCATTTTTAAACTTTATGGACTTTTAATAGCTTTAAGTGGATAGGAAAAACGGTGTGCATCTGGCTATGGTTCTCATTGTCATGCCCTTTGGGAAAAGCATCGCTTTCTCTGTTTCTAGGAAGGAAAGAAGTTGTCACATTGCAGCCAGTATTTGAAGAATCGGATTCTGGTGACAGGCAGCAATGATGAATGTGCAGTTTTTATTTTGACGTCTGGGTGGGAAGACAGAGTGGGTGTGTGGTTTTGTGGAGATTGCCCTCCTTGTGTTGCTGCGGCGGTTGCTGCTGCTGCAGCGACTCAGGCGCTTGGGCTCGCTGGGCACCGGCTCCTCCGTTGTGCCGCATTGCGTCGCTATTGTCCAGGCCCGAAGCAGCCACCTGCCGGGGAGAGCAGCAAACTGCATGGGAAAGTTATTTCCTCTGACCCTCCCCTCAATTTCCCAAACTCTGGAGCCTCAAGCAGCACTGCCTCAACACCATTTGACTTAGTTCTAGATGTTGTGGGTGCTGATTTGATGGCAACTCATGGAATGATAGAATCCTAGAGTTGGAAGGCCTGGGCCACAGGGTTCCATCCTGGGCCGGGTCTTGTTCAACATCTTTATTAATGACTTAGATCAACCTCAAACCTTTTAAACAGAGGGCCAGGTCACAGTCCCTCAAACTGTTGAAGGGCCAGATTATAATTTGAAAAAAATCATGAATGAATTCCTATACACACTACACATATCTAATTTGTAGTGCAAAAAACACTTAAAATAATACAATAATTAAAATAAAGAACAATTTTAATAAATATAAACTTATTAGTCTTTCAATGGGAGGTGTGGTCCTGCTTTTGGCTGATGAGATAGGATTGTTGTTGTTGTGTGCTTTCAAGTCATTTCAGACTTAGGTTGACCCTGAGCGAGGGCCGGGCAAATGACTTTGGAGGGCCGTATCTGGCTCCTGGGCCTTAGTTTGAGGACCCCTGGTCTAGGACATCTAGAAATTGCAGGTTCCCTTCGATTTCTTTTTCCATGGTGAATTGGATGTTTACTTACTTAGACGATCCCTTGTAGTCCAAGGATGATGGTCCTCCAAGTGTAGTGTCCTGGCGGTGGGTCCTATTCTTGACCTGCATCTTCTCCCACAGTGAGGGCATCGGCTTCCAGGTGGAAAGCGGTCCCGGTAGGGATTGGCTTGACACACCTTCCTCTTGGCACGTTTCTCTCTTTCGTCCTCCATTTGTGGCTCTTCAAATTCTACAGCACTGCTGGTCACAGCTGACCTCCAACTGGAGCGCTCAAGAGCCAGGGCTTCCCAGTTCTCAGTGTCTATGCCAGAGTTTTTAAGGTTGGCTTCGACCCCATCTTTAAATCTCTTTTCCTGTCCTCCAAAATTCCGCTTTCCGTCCTTGTGTTTGGAGTAGAGCAAGTGCTTTGGGAGACGGTGGTCGGGCATCCGGACAACGTAGCTGGTCCAGTGGAGATGATGGCGGAGGACCATCACTTCAATGCTGGTGGTCTTTACTTCTTCCAGCACGCTGAGATTTGTCCGCTTGTCTTCCCACGAGATTTGCAGGATTTTCCGGAGGCAGCGCTGATGGAATCATTCCAGGAGTTGCATGTGACGTCTGTAGACAGTCCACGTCTCACAGGCGTATAGCAGGGTTGGGAGGACAATAGCTTTATAAGCAAGCACCTTGGTATCTCTACGGATGTCCCGGTCCTCAAACACTCTGCTTCATTCGGAAAAATGCTGCATTCGCAGATCTCAGGCGGTATTGAATTGGATGTTTGGGTCGATGGTGTTGAGGTGCTCCAGGAATTGTTGACTTCTTCTTCTCCATGACTCCAAATAGTGAAGGTGTCGTCCACATAGCGGAACCATAGAGGGGCTTTTTCGTTGTTGTTTCCAGGGCTTGTTTTTCAAAGTGTTCCATGTAGAAATTGGCTACGGCCTCATCTTGCATTTTTCTCTTCCTATCAAAGCGATGACGACCATGCTGTACCCACCACGCGAGGAGAAGATGAGCCAGGATGAGATTGTGCTGGGCACCAAGGCCGTGGTGCAGGGCTTGGAGACATTACGCACGGAGCACCACTCGCTGCTGGCTGCGTTGCTTGACACTGTCAACCGTATGGAACAACAGCATGAAAGCAGTGCTGCCCAGGAGAAAGCCAGTCTCTTGCGGAAGTCTCTGGAAGCCATCGAACTGGGGCTCGGGGAGGCTCAGGTAATATCATTTAAGACCAAAGCTCAGCCTGCTGCCTGTTTTGATACTACTGGGAGGTGCTGGAAACAAAACATCTTGTCTCCTGTGCTATGCTAATAATATAATATAATATAATATAATATAATTTATTGTATATACATATAATATTTATAATGTGTGATACAATATAATACTACTACTAATAATATGATATTATAATTTATTATTTATTTATTTATTTACTAATACTTGGAGCTCCCAGTGACGCAGTGGGTTAAAACACTGAGCTGCTAAGTTTGCTGACCGAAGGCAGCGGCATGAGCTTCCGCTGTCAGCCCCAGCTTCTGCCAACCTAGCAGTTCGAAAACATACAAATGTGAGTAGATCAATAGGTATCATCTCCATTTCTAAGCCGAAGAGCCGGTGTTGTCTGTAGGCACCTCCAAGGTCATGTGCCCAGCATGACTACATGGAGCTCCATTACCTTCCCACCTGAGCGGTACCTATTGATCTACTCACATTTGTATGTTTTCAAACTGCTAGGTGTCAGGATCCAGTTTCCAGGCCCTCAGTTTTGGCGCTGAAAACTAGGGTCCTGACATAGGACATTGATAAGGACTCTGCAGCTGTCGGCCTTGGAAGACAACAACTTGTAGCTTGGCGGGAATGTTGCGCGGGGTTTTGACTTGGCGGGAAATGTACTTTCAAATGAGGGGGTGTGTATATAAGGAGCGACCAGCAGCTGCTGGTCAATCTCGGCTTTTCACATGTCCATGTATCCAGTAGTAAAGATTCTCTTTGATACCAGAGTGCGTTCCTGTGTCTTCATTGGGAGCAACTACTGTGAGGTGACACTAGGTTGACAAGCTGGGGCTAACAATGGGAGCTCACCCCATTCCCCAAATTCAAACTGGCAATCTTTAGGTCAGCAAGTTCAACTGCCCAACGGTTTAATCCACTGTGCCATCAAGGGCTCCACTATACCGTTATAATGCAATATTATTAGTAATATTACATGTAATATATAATATATAATTATTATATTATACATAGAATCATAGAATCAAAGAGTTGGAAGAGACCTCATGGGCCATCCAGTCCAACCCCATTCTGCCAAGAAGCAGGAATATTGCATTCAAATCACCCCTGACAAATGGCCATCCAGCCTCTGTTTAAAAGCTTCCAAAGAAGGAGCCTCCACCACACTCCGGGGCGAGAGTTCCACTGCTGAACGGCTCTCACAGTCAGGAAGTTCTTCCTAATGTTCAGATGGAATCTCCTCTCTTGTAGTTTGAAGCCATTGTTCCGCGTCCTAGTCTCCAAGGAAGCAGAAAACAAGCTTGCTCCCTCCTCCTCCCTGTGGCTTCCTCTCACGTATTTATACATGGCTATCATATCTCCTCTCAGCCTTCTCTTCTTCAGGCTAAACATGCCCAGTTCCCTAAGCCGCTCCTCATAGGGCTTGTTCTCCAGACCCTTGATCATTTTAGTCGCCCTCCTCTGGACACATTCCAGCTTGTCAATATCTCTCAATTGTGGTGCCCAGAACTGGACACAATATTCCAGGTGTGGTCTAACCAAAGCAGAATAGAGCATGGGGAGCATGACTTCCCTAGATCTAGGACACTATGCTCCTCTTGATGCAGGCCAAAATCCCATTGGCTTTTTTTGCCGCCACATCACATTGTTGGCTCATGTTTAACTTGTTGTCCACGAGGACTCCAAGATCTTTTTCACACGTACTGCTCTCGAGCCAGGTGTCCCCCATTCTGTATCTTTGCATTTCATTTTTTCTGCCAAAGTGGAGTATCTTGCATTTGTCACTGTTGAACTTCATTTTGTTAGTTTTGGCCCACTGTATTATTACTGTACTGTATTATTATTAGCATTAACATTATATTGTATTACATTATGATATTATGGTCAATATTATATGTATATGCAATATATTATATTATTAGCATAGTGCAATATTTATTTATTTATTTATTTACAGCATTTATATTCCGCCCTTCTCACCCCGCAGGGGACTCGGGACCGATTACAGTGTACACATATATGGCAAACATTCAATGCCAATTTTTGACATACAGCATATACAGACATACATACACAGAGACTATTTAACTTTTTCTGGCCACCAGCGGAGATGTCGCTTTCATCGTCCATCTGCGACGCTGATGAAGCACTTCCTCATTCCTGCATGCTTCCCCGCTGGAATGCTTTGCTGGAGTCTTTTTTATGGCCTCATAAATTAGTTAATTTAGCCTCCCCACACGTTAAGGTGGTACCTAATTTTCCTACTTGACAGATGCAACTGTCTTTCGGGTTGCAAAGGTCGACAACAGGCTACACAATTGGTTGGAAGCCCACTCCAACCCGGGCTAGCTTCGAACTCATGATCTTTTGGTCAGAGTGATCTTAATGCAGCTGACACTCAGCCAGCTGCGCCACAATATATTGTACTATATTGTACTATACTATACCACTACAGTAGTGGAGGGCCAAGGAAGAGAAGCCACCGCCGAGGACCTCTTCGGCGGCGGCCTCCTCCTCGCCACCTCCGCTTCTCCCTGCCTTGGATGTGCCTTCCTCATCAGGCTGGGTGCCCAAACCTGATGCCCAACCTGATGAGGAAGGAGCGGGCAGCAGTGGAGGGACGAGGAAGAGGCCACTGCCAAGGCCCTCTTTGGTGGTGGCCTCCGCCTCCTCGCTGCCTCCACTGCTCCCTGCTTCGGAGGTCCCTTCCTCACCAGGAAGGAACGGGGAGCAACTATATAGTGTTCCCTTGTTGCTCCCCGCGAAACAGCAAGTCCGCAATAAGCGAACCGCAAAGTAGCGAGAGAACATTGTATACTGCAATAGGATTAATAATATTATATAATCTGTATAAATAAAAATGTAATGTTAGTTCGTGCTACCATCAGAACTCAAAAACCACTGGGGGAATTGACACCAAATTTGGAAACAAGACACCTAACAGTCCAATTTATGTCCTCCACTCAAAAAAAATTGATTTGGTCATTTGGGAATTGTCGTTGCTGGGATTTATAGTTTACCTACAATCAAAGAGCATTCTGAACTCCACCAATGATGGAATTGGGCCAAACTTAGCACACAGGGCTCCCATGACCAACAGAAAAAACTGGAAGGGTTTGGTGGACATTTACCTTGAGTTTGGGAAATGTAGTTCACCCACATCCAGAGAGCACTGTGGACTCAAACAATGATGGATCTGGACCAAACTTGCATGAATATTCCATATGCCCAAATGTGAACACAGATGGAGTTTGGGGAAAATAGACCTTGACATTTGGGATTTGTAGTTACTGGGATTTATAGTTCACTACAATTAAAGATAAAGGTGCAAAGATTACTGCAGATGCAGACTGTGGCCAGGAAATCAGAAGACGCTTACTTCTTGGGAGGAGAGCAATGTCCAATCTCGATAAAATATAAAGAGTAGAGACATCAGACTGGCAACAAAGATCGGCTAGTCAAAGCCATGGTATTCCCTGTAGTAACCTACGGATGTGAGAGCTGGACCTTAGGGAAGGCTGAGCGAAGGAAGATCGATGCTTTTGAGCTGTGGTGTTGGAGGAAAGTTCTGAGAGTGCCTTGGACTGCGAAGATCCAACCAGTCCATCCTCCAAGAAATAAAGCCCGACTGCTCACTGGAGGGAAGGATACTAGAGACAAAGTTGAAGTACTTTGGCAACATCATGAGGAGACAGGAAAGCCTAGAGAAGACAATTATGCTGGGGAAAATGGAAGGAAGGAAGAAGAGCGACCAAGGGCAAGATGGATGGATGGCATCCTTGAAGTGACTGGACTGACCTTGAAGGAGCTGAGGGTGGTGACGGCCAACAGGGAGCTCTGGCGTGGGCTGGTCCATGACGTCACGAAGAGTCAGAGACGACTGAACGAATGAACAACAACAGTCTGCCCAGATAGTTATAGGCTTCAGGCCAATTACACCATGACCAACAGAAAATACTTAAGGCCATCCAGTCCAACTCTCTTCACCAGGGCAAGAAAATGTAATTAGAGCCCTCCTGACAAAGAGCCATCCCGTCATAAATATAGATAGATAGATATGATTCTCACACACACACACAGATATAGTATCACAGATTTGAAAGGGACCCCTAAAGAAGGACTATGATAGGTTGCATGTTCCAGAGTAGGCAAACCAGACACTCTCCACATCAACACTGACAAAGAAACAACAAGAAATACTGTTTACTCACAAGCAGAAAGGAATGACATATATTAGAAACCGACACTTTCTCATTACTTTATTTTCCAGATCACCAGACTGGGCCACAGCAACGCGTGGCAGGGGACAGCTAGTTTTACATAATATTACAGTAGGCCAAAAATAAACCCAAATCACTGCATCCAAAACAATAGGTTGAACTGCCACACTGTTATCAAAAGCGAGTCAGTGCCAGAACCATTTAGTCATTCAAAGGAAATATATCCAACAACCGAGAAGGCCCGATCCTACTTCTCCACATCTACTTTTTCCATTGTTGGAACTCAAAGGAGATGTCCTCAGTGGACCCAAATGCTGCCAGTGGCTGTGGGAGTTTCATATTTCCAAGCTGTGGGTGTGTCCAGGGCTTTAGTTACTGAGCTTTTGTATTCATTGTCCCTGGTTCCAGGTGATCATTGCCCTATCCAGCCACCTGGGCGCCGTCGAATCGGAGAAACAGAAGCTGCGGGCTCAAGTGCGGCGCCTGGTGCAGGAGAACCAGTGGCTGCGGGACGAACTGGCCAATACCCAGCAGAAGCTGCAGTGCAGCGAGCAGGCCGTGGCTCAACTCGAGGAGGAGAAAAAACACCTGGAATTTATGAACCAGATCAAAAAATTCGATGACGACGTCTCCCCATCGGTAGGTGGCTTCTCAACTTTTCCCATTTCCCCTCATTCTCTGTTCATAGGAATAAGTATTATAAATCCAAGCTATTTCCCATCGTGGTCAACTGTGAATACGCACATATGGTAGTTTCGGCGCCTGAGCAGACAGCTTCGGAACCTTCTAGATCAGTGGTTCTCAACCTTCCGAATGCCGCGACCCCTTAATACAGTTCCTCATGTTGTGGTGACCCCCAACCATCAAATTATTTTCGTTGCTACTTCATAATTGTAATTTTACTACTGTTACAAATCATAATGTAAATATCTGATCTGCAGGATGTATTTTCATTCACTGGACTAAACTTGGCACAAATACCCAATACACCCAAATTTGACTACTGGCAGGGTTGGAGGGGTTGATTTTGTCATTTGGGAGTTGTAGTTGCAGGGATTTATAGTTCACCTACAATCAAATAGCATTCTGAACTCCGCCAAACTTGGCACACAGAATTCCCATGACCAACGGAAAATACTGGAAGGATTAGATGGGCTCTGACCTTGAGTTTGGGAGTTGTAGTTCACCTACCTCCAGAAACTCAAACAATGATGGATCTGGACCTAACTTGGCATGAATATTCAATATGCCCAAATGTAAACACTAGTGGAGTTTGGGGAAAATAGACCTTGACATTTGGGAGTTGTAGTTGTTGGGATTTATAGTTCACCTACAATCAAAGAGCATTCTGAACTCCACCAATGATGAAATTGAACCAAACTTGGCACACAGAACTCCCATGACCAACGGAAAATACTGGAAGGATTTGGTGGGCACTGACCTTGAGTTTGGGAGTTGTAGTTCACCTACCTCCAGAAACTCAAACAATGATGGATCTGGACCTAACTTGGCATGAATATTCAATATGCCCAAATGTAAACACTAGTGGAGTTTGGGGAAAATAGACCTTGACATTTGGGAGTTGTAGTTGTTGGGATTTATAGTTCACCTACAATCAAATAGCATTCTGAACCAATGACTGAACCAAACTTGGCACACAGAACTCCCATGACCAACAGAAAATACTGTTTTCTGATGGTCTTTGGCGACCCCTCTGACACCCCCTCTCGACCCCCACAGGGGTCCCGACCCCCAGGTTAAGAACCACTGTTCTAGATAGATTTGAAAAACTTTGGTGGTTGGCCCCACCCACTCTCCCCTTGTGAGTATAAGTAGCAGGTGTTTCCCGAGTGGTCACCTGTGAATTTGCACATCCCTGCCCATCCTCCCCGCTGTTTGTCATGTCTCAGTATTTCTGGCGGAAGAACTGAGGCGGCGGCGCTGCCCACCTGCTACTTATACTCACAAGGAGAGAGTGGGCGGGGTAACCTAGCTGGGATTTCTGGGAGATGTAGGCCAAAAAATCTGGGGACCCCAGGTTGAGAACCACTGATCTACGCCAAGAACTTGACATGGGGAGTTTGTCCCTGTCAGTGCTCTTGGACCTCTCAGCAGCCTTCAATACTATACACCAGGGGTCCTCACACTTTTTAAACAGGGGACCAGTTCACTGTCCTTCAGACTGTTGGAGGACCAGACTATAGTTTACATGGGAATATTGTGAAATATTTTTCATATATTGTGAAACATTTATTTCCACATATATACATATATACACACAAATATGCATATAGACAAGCACACACATATACACAATATGCATGTACACATATAAACACACAAATATATACACAAACATATATACACACATCTATATAAATAAAAATGTAATGTTCGTTTGTGGGATTAACATAACTCAAAAACAATTGGACGAATTGCCGCCAAATTTGGCCACAAGACATTTACTAACCCAAGGAGTGACTATCACTCAAAAAATTGAATTTGTCATTTGGGAGTTGTAGTTGCTGGGACTTATAGTTCACCTACAATCAAAGAGCATTCTGAACTCCACCAACGTTAAGAGTTTAATCAAACTTGGCACACAGAACTCCCACGACCAACAGAAAACACTAGAAGGGTTTGGTGGGCATTGACCTTGGGTTTGGGAGTTGTAGTTCACTTACATTCAGAGAGAACTGTGGACTTAAACAATGATGAATCTGGACCAAACTTGTCACAAATATTCCATATGCCCAAATACAAACACAGATGGAGTTTGGGAGAAATAAACCTTGACATTTGGGAGTTGTGGTTACTGAGATTTATAGTTCACCTACAATCAAAGAGCATTCTGAACCCCACCGACAGAATTGGGGCAAACTTCCCACACATAACCCCCATGTCCACAGAAAATACTTAAGGCCATCCAGTCCAACTCCCTTCACAAGGACAAGAAAATGTAATCAAAGCCCTCCTGGCAAAGAGCCATCCAGCCATAGATATAGATAGATAGATATGATTCACACACACACAGAGATATAGTATCATAGATTTGAAAGGGACCCCTAAAGAATGACACTGATGTGTTGCCTGTTCCAGAGTAGGTAAACCAGACACTCTCCACATCAACACTGACAAAGAAACAGCAAGAAATGCTGTTTACCCACAAGGATAAAGACATTACATATATTAGAAAGCAACACTTTCTCATTACTTTGTTTTTGGGATCACCAGACTGGGCCACAGCAATGCGTGGCAGGGGACGGCTAATAAATAAATAAATAAATAGGCAATTGTCAGCAGTGGCGCCTAGCATATTAGAACCACCAAACTCAGATTGAGACTAGGCCTGGGTGGTTAGAGCGAAGGTGGGCTTTCTTTTTGTCTCTTCTCTCTATTCAATTGTGAGGTTCTAGCCCTGGATGTTGTCTTTCTGCCCAGGATGAGAAGAGTGGGGATACGTCCAAGGACACCCTAGATGACCTGTTCCCCAGTGATGATGACCAGGGACAAGGTGAGTAGTGCTTGCCTCAAGCAGACAAGAGTTCTTTCTTCCACCCTGATTATTCTATAGTTATATCAACCTCACTTGCCTAGTTTCCAACAGACCTCACAACCTCTAAGGATGCCTGCCATAGATGTGGGTGAAACATCAGGAGAGAATGCTTCTGGAAGATGGCCAGACAGCCTGGAAACCTCATGGCTATATTATTGTTTGTTTGTGTTTCAAACTACCTTGCCTTGGAGAAAGAACAAAGGGGGCATAAGCTGCAAATGTCTCTGCGACTATTATGTGAAGAACACCAAAATACCAATTTTTGCACCCAAAAAATGGGGAAACATTCTTGTGGAACATGGCCAAACAGCCTGGAAACCTCACAGCAACCCAGCGTTACTGCCTTACCTTTGGAGAAAGAACGAAGGGGGCATAAGCCGCAAATGTCTCTGCGACTGTTATGTGAAGAACACCAAAATACCAAATTTTGCACCCAAAAAATGGGGGTCAGACTGTTACGAGTTGATGACTATTATGCGTGTATATATCTCGTAACAACAACAACAACAAAACTATTAAAGTTTTGTTGCTGTTGTTGTTACAAGCCTATTATGTGATGAAATGCGGGTAGCATCTTTTCCAAACTAGTGCTGTGGCACAATCGCACATTAAACAGAGAAAGAACCTAAATGGTTGTATTTGTATCACATTTCACAAGTGTCTCTACGGGGTTTGAGGGACACGTGTTGGGCAGTGGCTGCTCTGCTTTCAAGCTGATCATGATGGTGGCGATTGTGTCAAACTCTCTGCAGGGCAGGCGCACAGCAGTGGGGATGCGGCGGCCCAGCATGGCGGTTATGAGATTCCAGCCCGCCTGCGGACGCTCCACAACCTGGTGATCCAGTACGCCTCGCAAGGGCGCTATGAGGTGGCCGTCCCACTCTGTAAGCAAGCGCTGGAGGATTTGGAGAAGACCTCAGGCCATGATCATCCGGATGTGGCGACCATGCTGAATATTCTTGCTCTGGTGTACAGGTGGGGGACTTGGCTGCCTTGGGGAAGTATTTGGTCTTCGAGTCTGTTAGTATTTTGGATATTTAGAATTTATTTATTTATCGTGTCAGGAGCAACCAGACAGTTGTATTACATTTTTAACAAAACAAACAGACAAAACACAAAGTTTGCAAGCTTGGTAGTTGATTAGATGTCCTTTGACCAGTATCTGGCCACTTGGAGTGCCTCTGGTGTTGCCGCAAGAAGGTCCTCCCTTGTGCATGTGGCAGGGCTCAGGTTGCATTGCAGCAGGTGGTCAGTGGTTTGCTCTTCTCCACATTCGCATGTCGTGGATTCCACTTTGTGGCCCCATTTCTTAAGGTAGGCTCTGCATCTCGTGGTGGCAGAGCGCAGTCTGTTCAGCACCTTCCAAGTCGCCCAGTCTTCTGTGTGCCCAGGAGGGAGTCTCTCGTTTGGTATCAGCTATTGGTTGAGGTTCTGGGTTGCTGTAGTGTTCCAGTGAGTGTCTCTGTAGATCTTAGAAAACTATTTCTTGATTTAAGTCATTGACGTGCTGGCTGATACCCAAACAGGGGATGAGCTGGAGATGTCTCTGCCTTGGTCCTTTCACTATTGGCCGCTACTTCCCGGCGGATGTCAGGTGGTGCAATACCGGCTAAGCAGTGTAATTTCTCCAGTGGTGTAGGGCGCAGACACCGCGATAATGCGGCATGTCTCATTAAGAGCCACATCCACTGTTTTAGCGTGGTGAGATGTGTTCCACACTGGGCATGAGTAGCAAAGCGCAAGGGAAGATGTCTTCACTGTGTCTGGTTGTGATCCCCAGGTTGTGCCAGTCAGCTTTCGTATGATATTGTTTCTAGCGCCCACTTTTTGCTTGATATTCAGGCAGTGCTTCTTGTAGGTCAGAGCACGGTCCAGAGTGACTCCTCCCATGTATTTGGGTGCGCTGCAATGCTCCAGTGGGATTCCTTCCTTCCCAGGTAATAATCCTCAGAGCTCGGGATACTTGTCTGTTCTTAAGGTGAAAGGCGCATGTCTGTGTTTTAGATGGATTAGGGATCAGCTGGTTTCCCCTGTAATAGGCAGTAAGAGCACCTAGAGCTTCGGAGAGCTTCTGTTCAACCATCTCAAAGCTCCCTGCTTGAGCAGTAATGGCACAATCATCAGCATAGATGAAGCTCTCTGTCCCTTCTGGCAGTGGTGGTCATTTGTGTAAATGTTGAACATGATTTATGTTACAATTGTTTTTAATTGCCCTATACTTGTCTCGTGATGTTTTGTATTGATGTTGTTCACCGCTTTGAGTCGCCTGAGGGCTGAGAAAAGCGGTATATAAATAAAGTAAATAAATAAATAAAATATTATTAAATGTTAAACATGGATGGAGCAAGCACGCTCCCCTGAGGCAGGCCGTTCTTCTGTTTCCGCCATCTGCTTCTCTGGCCCTGGAACTCAACAAAAAATCTCCTGTTTTGTAGCAGGTTTCCTATGAGGCGGGTGAGGTGGTCGTCCTTTGTGATATTATACATTTTTCTCAGGAGGAGGCGGTGGTTGACAGTATCATAAGCCGTTGACCGGTCTATGAAGACAGCTCCTGTGATCTGCTGCCTTTCAAAGCCATCTTCTATGTGCTGAATCAGGTTTAGAATTTAGAATGAAGCAGCTCCATGTTGTCATGGAGGATATATATGATTGGAGAGAAGACGAGAAGGGCTGGATACACTACTCTGGTCTCTTTGGAGAAGAGGGTAGAATGTACATGTGTGCAGAAGTTATTAATACTTTGCATGTTTTAAACTGTATATATATGTGTTTGGGTTAGCTGCAGTAACACTGGAGCAGCCTATTTCAGAGATCCTCAGTCAGCATTACCATGGAGACCAAGGCAAGCTGGCAGAAGGAGGAGTGGGAGGAGCCAAGTGGAGAGAGTTTTGAAAACAGACCGTTTGAGAGTCAGTTAGGAGTTGATTTTTTTATCTGAGAGGAGTAAAAGAGTGGAAATAAAGAGTAGAGTGGGAGAGTGAAATGTGAAGCAAAGAATTGTGGCTTTGGGAAGCCAGAATAGCTACTGGAGGTTTCCCAGTCTAAGGAGGCTGAAAGGAGAAACATAGCCAGTTTTCTTTAGTCAAGGGAAAGGCTAAAGGATAAGCTTGTTAATTTATTTGATCAAGAAAAGATCAAATAGGGAAGATAGTCCTGTACTGAAACATTGTTTAGTAATAAGAGCTTCACCTCAGTGAGATACTGTGTAACCTGGAAGAGTGAAATGTTTAACTAACCAAGTATTATTCAAAGTTCTATAAATTAAGTTTCAACTTGTAACCACACGCTTTGTACTCAATAAACCAGTTATCTTTTGTTGGAGACAGTCTCATTTCCGTCCATTCTGCATCTGTATTGCCATATCTCACAGTAATACCTCATATCTCACGTTGGTGGCAGTTACCATAGATTACATATAACAATTGGCCTCCACTGTACCAGTTGGTGGCAGAATTCAGAGAAATAAACAATAAATCTCCCTCTACTCTCCTGTCACATGACAGCAGCGTGTGCTTTCTCTCCACTCTGATCACCTCCTCGCAACATGTAACTCTAAGCTGCCGGCTTGCCACCGAGCACAATTCAAAGTGCTGGCGCAACGTCAGGAGAGAATGCTTCTGGAACATGGCCATACAGCCCGGAAAACACACAACAACCCATCATTTTTTAGCGTTTTCCCTTTTTGGGATATAAGTTCTGGCTTCTATATACTTTGAAAAAGCATTCATGTGCACAACTGGATGACAGCGTTCAGCTTAGGAAGGAATGTATACCATCTGCTTTTTCTGTGCCTTGTAAACGCAGCAGAAAATGTAAGTTTTCCTCCTTCTCTTTAGGGACCAAAATAAATACAAGGAGGCAGCCCACCTTCTCAACGACGCCTTGGCCATCCGGGAGAAAACACTGGGGAAAGATCACCCAGCTGTAAGTTTGATGGATTTTAGGGCTTCATATGCTGATAATACGATAAGCCTTGAGTTGCCCAATGCGTGCCTCTTTCCTCCTTAGGTGGCTGCTACTCTCAACAACCTGGCCGTGCTGTATGGCAAAAGGGGCAAATACAAGGAGGCAGAGCCCTTATGCAAGAGAGCCCTGGAGATCCGGGAAAAGGTACTGTGAAAAAGAAGCCACGAGCACTCTTCCTTTTATCTGTTTTAAACATTTTATTTGATGTATTTTAATTACTGTATATACTCGAGTATAAGCCTAGTTTTTAGCCCCTTTTTTAGCCTGAAGAAGCTGCCCTCAGCTTATACTCGAGTCAAAGTTATTTATTATTTTAGTCTGTTATTGCTATTATTTTGGTTACATTTATTATTTTCCTCTATTATTGGTATTATCACATTTGCATTATTTTACTCTATTATTATTTTATTACATTTATTTTACTCTATTTATTATTGTTATTATTATTATTATTATTATTACATTTATTATTTTACTTTAGTATTATTGTTATTACATTTATTATTTTCCTCTATTATTGGTATTATTACATTTGCATTATTTTACTCTATTATTGTTGTGACTCAGGCCCCAAAGATTGCCAAACACAGCAAATTAAGGGTTAACAAAAGTCTTAATGAGTCTTTAACAAGCTAGCAGCACTTAACCACCAATGCTACTTAGCAAAACAAAAGGACCTTCGTGCAGGTAAACAATAACAGAGGTAAACCGGATTATCCCAGGACTCAGTCTCAGGAAAAAGGAAAGCTGGAGCAAAAACAAACAGTGGCAAAAGCGAAGTCAAAACAGTCCTTGGTCGATAACAAAGACAGGCAACAAACAAAGTCCGGCAGGCAGATGACGTGGTTCAAAGACGTTCCAAAATCAGGGGCAAGGCAAAGTCACGTAGTTCCAATCCGAAGTCAAAGTACATGAAGACAATATAGCTGGATTTCCAGGACCCAAATGAAGGTTAGGCAGAACAAGACACCCGAAACAACGCTTTATCCTCTGCAAAGCTACACATCCCAGAACCCCCATTTTATTAGCAATCGCTATCGCTAGATTGATCCTCATCACTAACATCTGGGTCATTTCCTTCAGCTGCTGGCTCATTACTCCGCCATCTCTGCCAGCATTGATCCAAACCAGGATCCTGCCAAGATGTACCTGCCTGCCATGTATCTTGGGATCCCTCAAACTCGTCACTAGACGTGGGCTGTGTACATACGTCCTGAATTTCCCTAACCCGAGTCCAGTCCAATTCCTCCTCCATTTCCCCATTACTGGCTTCCAGTTCAGTCAGCTGTATCTTTAAGCCGTTTACTCATAGTTTCTTCATCACTTTCAGACTCACTGACAACCCGCTTTACTCCCCGGTAATCCAATTCCTCCAAATCCTCGGGTCCAAACCCTGCAAAATCTTCCGTGTTGCTAGGTGCCAAAATAATATCTCGAATATGCTTCAGCTCACGCTGATCCAGCTCTGACTCAGCATCACTCCTCCTTCTCCTATAACCAAGACGCTAAGCCTTAACACTTATTATTTTATTACATTTATTTTACTCTATTATTATTATTACATTTATTATTTTACTTTATTATTATTGGAAGGATACGTAAGCACATTGACACTGAAAAGGGTTAGAATAATGGTTTAATCAAAGTTGGTCAGTCTTATTTTAAATAACAGTTTTATGTAAACATTGAAAAACATTTAACCTACTGTTTCCTCAATGAATGTAATTTTATTGGTATCTATATTTATTTTGTATTACCAGTAGCTGCTGCATTTCCCACCCTCGACTTAAACTCGAGTCAATAAGTTTCCCCATTTTTTGGTGGTAAAATTAGGTGCCTCGGTTTATATTCGGGTCGGCTTATACTCTAGTATATATGGTACATTTGTCTTCCAGCATAAGGACCTTCTTCTTCGTGGTCTCCATGAAATGCACAAATCTGGCTGCTCATTAAAATTCCCAGGTGTCAGATTGTTTTCCAAACCCAAATGCTTAGCTTAGCTTAGCTTTGGTTAGCTTAGCTTAGCTTAGTTTAGCTTGCACTCCAGGTCAGAAAAAAGCCCTCTGTGAAAAAATAAATCTTCTTTTATTGAAGCTTAGTAAATAGCCAGAAGAAATAAATGCTTGTAAGAAAATAAGAAAGTTCCAAAAAGTAATAAGTCCATAAAAGGTAGTAACACAAAGCAATGTCCACACCAGATATAAAAGCAATCCAAGACAGCATTTATCCAGATAGGAATCAACAGGTTGCCAAGACAATCCAAAAGGCTAAAAAAAAACTCCACAGGAACAAGACCCCTTGAACAGCATTTTCATGGTGCATGAACTTGATTTCCAAACGATGCCTGATCTAACAGGTTTCCCCTTGAGGCAAACATTATATCCCAAAACTCAGAAATTGGTTTCGCTTTCCCCCACATTTACCCCTTATCAGACGAAGCCTTTCAGAGCGACGTAAACACTGAGTTTGCTGTCGATCCTGGCTAATCTCCAGCCGCCTATTCTTCAGCTCCCTATCTGGCTGCTCATTAAAATTCCCAGGTGTCAGATTGTTTTCCAAATCCAAATCTTGAGAGCTCACAGAGAGAGGGAGTGAACCATCATTGCTAGGCCCAGCAGGAATATTCTCATGAGAAACTGTCCTTTGCACTGGGGCCTCTCTGTCATTGTCTGCCTGAAAATCATTGACCAAACCATTCCATCTTGTACCTCAGCTTCAGCACCATCATTTCTCTCATCATTTCCCACATCAGGATCCTGAAAAACAAACACAGGCTGATTCCCAACAACAGCCATATGTGCGAATTTCATGGGTAACTGCTCGAACAAACACTGTTACAGGCAAGCAACCATTCCTTCTTTGTGGTCCCCATGAAATGTGCACATATGGCTGTGTGAATTTCACGGGTGACCACTTGAAGAAACACGTTCCTTCTCGGTGGTAGAGCCCTGGTTTTGTCCTCACTTTCTGTCATTTCCAGTTTTTTTTTTTTTTCATGTCAGGAGCGACTTGAGGAACTGCAAGTTGCTTCTGGTGTGAGAGAATTGGCTATCTGCAAGGATGTTGCCCAGGGGACGCCCGGATGTTTTGATGTTTTACCATAAGGCTTCTCTCATGTCCCCACATTGGGAGCTGGAGCTGACAGAGGGAGCTCATCCACGCTCTCCCCGCATTCGAACCTCTGACTTCAGTCCTGCTGACACAGGGGTTTAACCCATTGCACCACCAGACAGGATGAAGTCACTAGTGATTGAAAAGACTGATTTGTCTGCAACCCTGGAAAGGTGCTTTCAACCATATCAGTGTTCTAGATCAGGGCTTTTAAAAAATTTTCCGTCCCCTGCACAATGTCCTTGCAAATGGCCAGTTCTCTCACACCAGAAGTGTCTTGCAGTTTCTCAAGTTGCTCCTGACACAGCCAACCTAGAAAGGCGGATTTCTTCCCAACTTCCAAGTGTTGAACATTGTCCCTCCTTCCTCCCTTGACTTCCCAGGTACTCGGGAAGTACCACCCAGACGTAGCCAAGCAGTTGAACAACTTGGCCCTCCTGTGCCAGAACCAAGGCAAGTACGAGGAGGTCCAGTACTATTACCGGCGCGCTCTCGAGATCTATGAGTCGCGTCTCGGGCCCGACGACCCCAATGTGGCCAAGACCAAAAATAACCTGGTAAGAGGCTTGTGGAAGGGGTTCCGGATTGTCTTAGGTAGTAGTGGCTTAAGCATATAGGGAATGCGAGAAAGATAGAAAAGTGTAGGAAAAGCAGTATGCTGGACTACACTTTCCAGCTGTTGCTCTTGTGGTGCCATTTCTTCCAGAGAAATGGCAAGCTAAGTATCTAAAACCCAATCTGTCTATCTATCTATCTATCTATCTATCTATCTATCTATCTATCTAATAAAAGTCAGTGTTTGTATGTATGTATTTTTGTATGTATGCGGCGGGAGGTGTATGTGGCAGCTTTCTGATTGGCTGCCACTGTGGGACTTGGAATACTTGGAATACCTGCACTCCCTTCCTGAGACCATTACAACTGCCAACAATGATGGATCAGGACCACAATTCACACAGAGAGCCCGCATGACCCACTCTACATCCTGGTGCGGTTTGGAAGAATTTGGAGATGGATGATGGGACTTGCAGTAACTTCACTCACTTCCTGAGACCATTGAGACCCTCACCAATGACTGATCAAGACCAAACTTATTATTTATACCACCATTCACACAGAGAGCCCCCATGACCCACTCTACATCCTGGTGCACTTTCGAGGAGGACAGACCATAGATGATGGGACTTCCTGTACCTCCACTCCCTTCCCAAGAGTGCTGCAACCCTCATCTAATGACCAATCAAGACCAAACTTGGCACACAGAGCCCCCATGACCTACTCTATATCCCGGTGCTGTTTGGAGGAGGATGGACGATGGATGATGGGACTTGCCGTACCTTCACTCACTTCCTGAAACCACAGCGACACTCATCCAAATACCTGTAAAGACCAAACTTGGCCAACTCAATATTCTGGTGAGGTTTGGGGGAGTACGGACTATGGATGATGGCACTTCAAGTACCTCCACTCACTTCCCAAGACTTCTGCAACCCTCATCTAATGACCGATCAAGACCAAACTTGGCACACAGAGCCCCCATGACCCACTCTCCATCCTGGTGCAGTTTAGAGGAGGATGGACCACAGATGATGGGACTCGCAGTACCTTCACTAACTTCCTGAGACCACTGCGAGCCATATAAATAACTGTTAAAGACCAACCTTGACACACAATTCCTTTCTCAAATAACCTGGGCAGCGCCGGGATTCCAAGCTAGTAATAAAATAATAATAACTTTATTTGTAACCCACCCTATCTCCCCGATGGACTGATATTTTAAATTTTTAATTGTACTAAATGCATAAGGTTGTGGATGAACTACAACTCACATCATGTCACGTTGATCCTCTAAAACGCCATCAGTGCTTAAAGTTTGTTATGTTGGCCACGTTTGCTCCAGATTCATCATTAGTGGGGTTCTGTTTCCTCTCTAGCTGCAGGGTAAACTATAACTCCCACTATGGTGAGTCAGTCCCCTCAAACCCCTCTAGTAGGTTGAGTTAGTTATGGGAGTTCTGTGTGCCAAGTTTGGTCCTGGTCCATCATTGGTGGAGGTTGCCGTTTCTCTGGTTGTGGGTGAACTACAACTTCCAGAAAAGAAGGTCAATTCCCCTCAAACCCCTTCAATAATCAAATTTGGGCATATCAGGTACGTGTCCAGTTTCATTGGTTTTTGTGTTCACAATGCTCTCTGGTTGTAGGTGAACTACAACTCCCCCAAATGAAGGTGAATTTTCCCCAAAGCCCTCCATTATTATTATTTTTTGCTAATAATGTATGCCAAATTTGGTCCAATTCCATCTTTGGTGGAGTTCAGAGTGCTCTTAGATTGCAGGTAAACTATAAATCTACAACTCCAAAATGTCAAGGCCAGTTCCACCCAAAACCTACCAATATTTAAATTTGGGCTTATTGGGTTTGCATGTTAAATTTGGTCCAGATCCATTGTTATTTGGGTTCACAGTGTTCTCTGGATATAGGTGAACTACAACTTCTACAAATCAAGGTCAATTCTCCCCAAAGCCCTCCAGTATTTTTTGTTGATCATGTGGTCCACGTCAATTGTTGGTTGGGGTCACCGTTATCCGTCTCGATGCAGGGGAACTACAACTTCCATCAAGTTGAGTCAGGCCCCTAAACCCCTCCAGTATGTTCAGTTGCTGATAAATTCTGTTTGTTGCGTGCCATAGAAGAGTAGTAGGAAAAAGTTAAGGGAGAGGCAGTGGGTGGGATCATGCAAATTCCACACCAATTGAGAGAGTCAGAACCACTGAGATGTCTATGGTGGAGGAAACACATAAAATCTAGGATGATATTGTCCCTGAATGAAAGCCTTCACTTGGGCGGTGGGCAGTTGGTGTTTGTGGAGGAAACTGGCAAGGGTTGTACATGTTTATGGTGCTCACTGTAACCTGCAATATCATTGGAAGGAGGGCTTTTGGTGGCTCCTCATAGATGGGGATCATAGCTGTTTGTGGAAGAGGGCACCACAGCCACATACACAGATACATATTTTCACTTCTATTATGTACTAGCTGTACCCACCATGCGTTGCTGCAGCAAACCTTCCCTCCCTCTTTCTCCTCCTTCTCTCTTTCACTTCTTACTTCCCTTCCTCTTTCCTTCCTTCCCTCTTTTTCTTTCTTTCTTCTTTCTTCCTTCTCTATCTCTTTCTTTTCTTCTTCCTTTGCTCTTTGGTTCCATCCTTCCTTTCTCTTCCTTCCTTCCCTCTTTCTCTTTCTCTTCTTCCTCTTCCTTTTCTTCTTTCTTCTTCCTTCCTTCTCCACTTCTTTCTTTCTTCTTCCTCCCTTTCTCTTTCTTCCCTCTTTCTCCCTTCCTTCCTTCCCTACCTTTCTTTCTTTCTTTCTTTCTTCCTTCTTTCTTTTCTTTCTTTTCTTTCTTTCTTCTCTCTTCTCTCTTTCTCTCTTTCCCTCCTTCTTTCCCTTTTTCCCTCTTTCTCTCCCTCTTCTCTCCTTCCTTCCTTCTCTATCCTTCTTTCTTTCCTTCTTTCCCCTTCCTCCTTCTTTCCCTCTTTCTCTCCCTCCTTCCCCTCCTTCCTTCTCTACCCTTCTTTTTTTCTTCTTCCTTCTTCTTCCTTCCTTCTTTCCTTCTTTCCTTCCTTCCTTCCTTCCTTCCTTCCTTCCTTCTTTCCTTCCTTCCTTCCTTCCTCCCTTCTTTCCTTCCTTCTCTTCTCTTCCCTCCTTCCCTCTTTCTCTTCCTTTCCTCCTTCCCTTCCTTCTCTCCTTCTTCTTTTTCCTTCCTTCCTTCCTCCTTCTTTCCCTTTTCTCTCCCTCTCTCCCTTTCCTTCCTTCTTCCTTCCTTCTTCCTTCCTTTCCTTCCTTCCTTCCTTCTTCCCTCCTTCTTTCCCTTCTCTCTTCTTTCCCTTCTTCTCTCTTTCTCTCCCTCTTCTTTCCTTCTCTCTTCCTTTCTTTCTCTTCTCTCTTCCCTTCCTTCTTTCCTCTTTCTCTCCCTCCTCCCCTTCCTCTCCTTCCTTCCTTCTCTACCCTTCTTTCTTTCCTTCTCTCCTTCTCTCCCTATTTCTTTCTCTCTTTCTTTCCCTCCTTCTCTCCTTCTTTCCTTCTCTATCTTCCTTTCTTTCCTTCTTTCTCTCTTTCCCTCCTTCTTTCCCGCCTTCCTTCCCCCTTTCTGTGTATGTGTTTTGTGTGTATATATGTATGCTTTTTAAGTCCCTTCTCCTATGTTTTTCAGTGTTTTTATGAGTGATGGTCACTCATTGGCCTGAGAGGTCTCTTGTGTCCAAACTTGGTGTCAATTTGTCCAGTGGTTGTTGAGTTATGCTAATCCCACAAACGAACATTACATTTTTATTTATATAGATAGAGATTATTATTGAAAATAATATTCAAAATAATAGTATGGATGTCATTCTTAAGCATCTCCTCACTCCAAGTGAAGGTGAATGGAGCAGCTTACGTGAAGAGCTGTGTTACTTCTCTTCTTTCAGAAACGTTTTTTTTTTCTGAAGAGGGGGATTAAAATGCCATGGATTAATGAGTTAAAATGCCATGAATTAAAATGCCATGAATTATTATTTGGGCCTCTTCCTCTTACTTCTGCATGTATTCTCGCAGGCATCCTGCTACCTCAAACAAGGCAAATACAAGGATGCCGAGGCACTCTACAAGGAAATCCTGACCCGAGCACATGAGAGAGAATTTGGGTCTGTCAATGGTGAGTGTGGACGTTTGTGATAAAAGAGTGAATATATTAGCTTTGTCCATTTATTATTTTGAAATATATGTATGTTTGGAGCCCCTGGTAGCACAGCGGGTTTAACCACTGAGCTGTTGAACTTGTTGGTGGAAAGGTTGGCAGTTCGAATCTGAGGAGCGGGGTGAGCTCCTGCTCTTAGCCCCAGCTTCTGCCAATCTACTAATTTGAAAACATGCAAATGTGAGTAGATCAATAGGTACTGCCTCAGTGGGAAGGTAACGGCACTCCATGCCTCCACATGACCTTGGAGGAGTCCACAGACAATGCTGGCTCTTTGGTTTAGAAATGGAGATGAGCACCACCCCCTAGAGTTGGACACAACTAGATTTAATGTCAAGGAGAAACTTTTACCTTTACCTTTGCCGTTCAGCAGTGGAACTCTCTGCCCTGGAGTGTGGTGGAGGCTCCTTCTTTGGAAGCTTTTAAACAGAGGCTGGATGGCCATCTGTCAGGGGTGATTTGAATGCAATATTCCTGCTTCTTGTCAGAATGGGGTTGGACTGGATGGCCCAGGAGGTCTCTTCCAACTCTATGATTCTAATGCTTTATGAGCTTTGTTTCTGCGACATCACTGTATTAGCTTCTCTGTATAGCAGTGGTTCTCACCCTGTGGGTCCCCAAGTGTTTTGGCCTACAACTCCCAGAAATCCCAGCCAGTTTACCAGCTTTTAGAGATGCAGAGCCAACATTGAGAAACGGGGCTACAAAGTGGAGTCCACGAAATGCGAGTGTAAAGTAGAGCAAACCGCAGACCACTTACTACAATGTGGTCTGAGCACTGTCACATGCACAATGGAGGACCTTCTTACAGAGACACTAAGGTCACTCCAAGTGGCCATCTTCTGGTCAAAGGACATTTAGTATAATGCCAAGTTTTTAATTTTGTGTTTTTAAATACATTATAACAGTACCCTCGGTTCACTTCTGACACGATAAATAAATTCTGCTGTGTCTTCTCTGTAGGAGACAACAAGCCCATCTGGATGCATGCTGAGGAGCGGGAGGAGAGTAAGGTAAGAGAACGGAGCCAGGACTTTGGGCCAGAATCCCAAATGATCCTAAATCCCTAGCTGTGGTCCTCCAACTTCGATATTTGTTGCATGTCTCCACAACAAGCCCATATTCCTCCGTTTTCCTCTGTAGACTCTCATAAAAAAACAGAAAGTCATGTATAGATTTGAAGGATTTTTTTAAAAAAATAGTAAAGACAGTTTCCCGTCGTGGTCAGCTGTGAATCGCACATATGGTTTATTCCTGGCTCGCACACAGGTGACCACTACGTTTACAGGTAAGCAACCTATATTTCCATCCTGTCTTTGCTAATAATATAATATAGTATATTGTATATACATATAATATTTATAATATTATAATGTAATACAATATAATACTAGTAATAATAATACAATATTATAATAATTATTATATATTTACATTACATGTTGTAAGGAAGCGTAATCCCACCTAAATGGGATTACCAAAATTAAGTAAATATGTATGTTGATCCAC